AGTACATACAGATGTCCCATTTGTTGAACAAACAAGAAAAAAACTATCACAAGATCGCTTGGATTGCTGAAATCGCAGCTTCACAAATAGTTGCGGACCGCAAAGGAAACGCTTTCGTTGTGGAAAAAATGATAAAAAATTGTTATGCTTTTTACTATTATCATTGTTATTTAAGCATTTTGGCATTACTAAGCATTGAAATTATTGGCTCGTTGGCAGCTTATCGTGTAGATAGTATTTCTTAAGGTTCAATTTCACGCCACACATAATCTGGACATTTAGACATAGCCGCCATTTGGCCGTTTACAAACTAAAGATGGAGGGTAAAATAAACTGAAGTATTTCCATTCTAGGACTTTCTTAGGTTTAACAGACACTGTTAAGTCTAAAATTAACATTTAGAAACGAAAAATAGTGAATGATCATGACACAGAATGCTACAGTGAAAAAAATCAGAACGAAATATATAAAATGATCATTATAGCCCAGTTTATTTTTGAGGGTACATAAACGCATTCGGTACAACTGCTTTCGCAGTATTCATCTTTTTTAAAAGAGAGCTCATGATCACGTATGGAACTTGAGTCTGTATATGCAAATCATTTATGTCATATAAAACTTGTGGCAGAGCCCGAAAGAGATGGCGCAAAGCACAGATATAAGCTCATTGAATGCATGCAAGTTTATTAAGAGACTATTCGATCGAGGTACCCGGTAAAATGATAAAAAACGATAGAAGGTTTACAATCCTTATTACATCTACAGTTAAAAAAACTCTCGACGACATGTACGGGTAAGCAAACGATTGAAGGAGTACCTGGGGGGGGACGTCCTTAAGTTGCAAATTGCAGTAAATACTCAAATAAGCGTCGCATTTGGAGGATTAAATAGGCGCCACGGCGCTTATTTGCGTAAATACGGTACTAAGAGGTATCACTATGGTTTTTAGCGCCACCCTCAAACAAGCGCCGCATTTTTTGGAGAAAAAATTTAATAAGCTTCGGTTTATTTCCTTATGCACTGTGTAACTTGACGTTTACAAAAATAAATTGCTTGTAAAGGGACAAAATAAAAAAAAAAGCTTTAAGCCTAAAAAAAGTTTTTCATACTTCATTTTTGTTAAAGAAAGTTACTGCAAAAACCGTGGACGAAGCTCCTGTTGCTTCTCAACGTTGGATCTCTAGAAAAGAGATAATCATGCAGCTAAAATATTAAGAACAAAAAACGAGAAGCCTAAGGGCCTGTTTACATGGAGGTGGGGACCCCAGGTAGGTGAGGTAACCCGCTTTGGTGGGTAACCCGCCTGTCCACATAATCTCTCATTTTAGTTTGATCACGTTTACGTGATAGGTGGGGTGTCCCGCACCTCCATGTAAACAGCTGATAACAACCAATAACTAAGATAGTACGCGCGCGCTCTAATTGGCCGAGAGATGTGTTTGCATGAGAGTATGTAAACATGTGTGAAAATCAAGATGTTTTGCTCTTCGCGCTCTAATCACACAGTTGAAAACTCGACAAATTTACTTCATTTACCCATTCCCTCGTCGGATGAAACTTGGAAAATCTTTACAAACATACTGTGCCAATTTTTTTCGCTTAAGCTGACATTTTAAGCGAGAAAAACCCTATTTTGGAAAGCATCTTTATTGCAAAACAAGAACTGATTACACGTACATTAAGCTGTACAAGACTTCGCGACTGGTAAGAATTTCTCTTTTAATCAGTAACCTAAACAAAGAGTTCTTCTTTTTTCTCGGGAAAGTTATTTTATAAAAGCAATAGATAACTTTTTTCTTGTGTTTGCATAGCCTGATATAAACACTCGAGGGGTTGGGAGAATCTTGACAGTTATGCAAACCCAAGACGAAGTCGAGGGTTTGCACAACTGTCTCAAAATAAATAGTGATTTTTTTTAGAAAAATACTGTTACTTTGTCGTTTACAAGCAATTTATTTGTAAACGTTAAGTTTCACAGTGCGTAAGAAAATGTACCGAATTTACGCGAACTAGCGCCGCGGCGCTTATTGTTTTTCTCCAAAAATGCGGCGCTCATTTGAGGGCGGTACTTAATACCATAGTAGCGACTTTAAGATTCGCTACGGCATAGCTCTAATACGGCTGTTGTAACCGGGAAGGGTTGGGGCGACTACGCGGTCTCCCGCCAAAACTCAAATGGTTAAGTTACGCTCGGTACGGAACGTCACAACCGACACAAAATGTAAACAAACTCGGACAACAGGACTAGTTTTCCCGTCTAGGTTTTGGTTGATTTCTCTTCAATGGTTTCGTTTAAAGAAATAACAGACCTTGCTGTGCTTTCTTATGGCATGAATTTTATAAATGATGCTGAATTTCTGTTGTTATATAATTCGTATAGCTCAGAAAACCTTTATCTGCTAAATCATTTGTATCCCGAGTTCGACCTTCAAAATTTCAACGAAGATGAATGTCTGACAGAATTTCGTTTCAAGAAAGCTGACATCCCAAGGCTTGCACGGGCTTTACAAATCCCTGATGTTATAAGATGCTACCAAGGAACGATTGCGACGGGATTGAACATTTAGTTTAAATCTGTCGGGATTGAACAAATATAAATGTCACACAACTTTAATACGTGTAATAAATGAGCGTTCGCTCGCTCTAGCGCCGGTAAATTATAAAAATTTTATTCTCAAAGCTAAACAAGTTGTTACTGAGAACATCCCTGGCAGATAAGCCAAAAGATAAAAATATTTTTTTAATAGGTACTCGTGAAATGAAAGTCTTGACAATCACTTATTGGAACTAAAACTTCTATAAGCTTAAATAAGCTCTCTTACGAGGTTTTCTTGTCTGCAGCCGTGATTATAACGTATCCAAATCCTTTGAGTTTTCGCTTAAATAACGAAGCAATAATACCTAAGGAATATTTAAGTATGACTAAGTACTTAGTCTTTGGAGTGGGCTTCTCAGAAAAGCGAAATAAGCTTTAAAATGGCAAAGAAATGACAGTTAATACTCACGTAGTGAAGAGTACGGCAAAGAAGGCAGTTTTACGCAGTAGAAAACGAGGCTACGGGGGGAAAGCCGTACTGCAACTCGCGTGGTGACGTCACCGGAAGTGATTTTGACCTTATGTAGCCGTAGTAGCCCCTTGCCGTAGCGAATCTTAAAGTCCCTAGTAATACCGCTTAGTACCGTATTTACACGAATACTAATTAACTCCCCCTCTTAAGTGCGGCGCTTATTTGAGGGCGACACTTATTCGAGTCTGATTACTGTAATTGGCAACTTAAAAGTTTATTACATTTAGGGCAAGTTGTTATTAAATTTAGGACTTTATTACATTTAGGACAAAATGTTATTACATTTAGGACTTTATTACATTTAGGGTCGTTTATTACATTTAGGCCTTCTACAGATGACCTATCACTATCAAATCTGGAACGATTTATTTATCACAGTATGATCATATTTTTCCTTTCCAATTTTCTTTTCAGTGCAAGTGCGCTACCTTTATTATCCTGGTAATATAAAAAAGCAATTCTAATACATTTTACTGTCTTTTGCCAGGTGTCATACAGTATGTTGCCCAGTATCCGGACGGTACCAGTATCCGGACACTTGAAACAAAAACTCAATTTTTGAGGCGCCCTTTTCAGTTTTCGGTAAACGAAGTATTTCGAGTGAAAGCTGGACATTTCAGCTTTAAGATGAGAGTTCTGGCGATTTGAAAGCTTGCGAAACAGCCGCAGAAGACGCCGTTCTGTTCAGGTGAGTAAACTTTTCGTGGCTAATATTTACGCTGTTTACTGCGCAGTAAAATTAGTGCTGCTCAGAAAAGGGAGGGTAATGTGTGATATTTTCAAAGAAACTGTTTTATTTTTAAAGTGAAGATACTTAAGGAAGTCAGGTTTTCAGAAAGTTTATTAATTCTTCTTGAAATTCGATTTGTTTGGAATAACGGAGGCCAGAAACATTCACTAAGTTTTGATGTCATGTGCCCAGTATCCGGACAGTTTTTTCTTTGCTGTACAGAATCGATGAATTAGCTGTGTACATTATCCGGTTAAGATTTATTTCATATCAGTAACTATAATTAAAGCTTAGGATATATGATGTAGTCGTAAAATGTAATTCTACTCAACTCCGTATGGAAATTTTCTTCACTCATTCACAGGGGGTTGATTTCGTGTGCACGGGCTTGTTTCGCGTGACTGCATTTTCTATATATAACTGAAAGGGTCTGAGTTAAACCTGGAATTCTCGTACTTTCCCCACTTGTGATTGCTAGAATGGGGTTGCAACGGTCTGAAAAATGTCACAAAGGGATTAAGAGATGTGAAAGAAGGAGGAATTAGTGCTAGAAAAGCAGGCTTATTGTGGGGACTGAGCATGAAGAAATCAACACTGCAGGTCGGACTAAATAGGAGTGACCTTTGACCGTCGGATTGAGGACCCTTACCCAAGCTTTTTTTTTAAATAAAAAATGAGGAAAGAAAGTAGTTTGCAGATTGGCTAATTGAGCTTGCAAACTGCTGCTTCGGCATGTCCACGGATGCCTTCCTTAAATCAGTGAAAAAGTTCCTAGACAAGGAAGTAAGAAACACACCATTTTTAAAACAGCCGCTCGCGCTCCCCACCATACCCCAGTCATTTGTTATGTTTTATTTCACGATGCTGGGTTATATTTTTGGAATCGATTGCCAGACTACTTTGCGAGTGCAAGAGAAGCTTATAAGTCGCTTGCCTGTCGAAATTTATGTACAATTGCGTTGTTATTGTTGTGTCCGGATACTGGGCCAGCTGTCCGGATACTGGGCAACATAGGAGCTCTGCAAAAATATCAATTTCGCGATGGAAACAAAGGCAAAAAAGTTAAACTGTCTTTCGTCATATTAAGGACTAGATAGATTTTCTCTGGGCCAAATTTCAGAGCTCTTGCGATTAACAAAGGAACGTTATTGCAATCTTAAACTGAAGTGTCCGGATACTGGGCAACATACTGTAGTCATATTTTATTTACCTGCCCCAAGGTTGCTCCATGGCCTTGCGCTTCGTATGGTAAAATTCCAGTTTCCAAAAGGCTTTTCTCCCCAATAATGTAGACTAGTAACTCGCCAGTCTGTCAACGTTTTACGGCGCGTTAAGATGTCTATCTTACGCGAGTAAAGAAGTTTAGACCGGGTTCCTCCAGGGGATGTTGAGAACATCTCCAGATAACCTCGTCGGGGAAATCGTAGATTAACTTCTGCCTGCATATGTTCCAAATACTGGATGTTACACTTTTCCTGCTTTAGAGGTATGGTAAGACGTAAATCTCCGCGCCAAGGAATAACTAACCTAGAGGAACTTAGGAAAAAAATTTCAACTTATTGAATAAGTAACCAGTAAACGAATGAATGAATGAATAAATAATATAACATTAGTTTATGTTTAATCCAGTCAAACCTCCCCCACCTCTCATAAGAATCTAAGTTCAAATTTCAGATTTCGTGGATTCGTGACAAAAGAAATGAAAAGTTCGAGTCCAGATGCACCTTTAAGGATTTGTATCCCCTCCCCCCCACCATCACCACCACCACTATAAAAGAAAAGTAAAAAAAAAAAAGACAACTCAAAAATTTGACTAGGATTTGATGATGTTGTCCTTTCAAACAATCCTGTCAGTAGAAACAAACCTTCAAGTGCGACCCACCCTCTTAAGCGACCACAGATTCAAAACACCAAAATTTAGCCGGTCAAAGCCCGACAGTTGGAACCCCTCGTAAGCGACAGCGAAAACTTGTTGTGTAGGGACCTTTTCGTCTTGGAAGAGACCCTATGTTGTTCCACTCTCGTGAGCGACCGTGTCACCTCCCTTAAGCGACAACTAAATCTTCGCATTTTGGATGGTCGCTTACGGGAGGTTCGTTTGTATTCACCGAAGGTAAAGAATCATATAATTTGTTACTGGATACAAGCCTCCATAAATACAACCTTAGTAATCACCCAGTCGAATATAATGCGGTTAATTACTTGAAAATTGTAGCATTTAGCTGAGCTTCACATGACAGCTGCCGAGGCACGGTTCGCCACTTCTTAGCGTACTCAATCATTTTTTTCGCATCCATCAATCCAAATCCGAAGTCACTACTCACTGAAATAAAAAACAAACAAACAAACAAAATATAAACAAGAAATAACTTCTAGTAAGAGAGTTTGGGGGTGCTTTTGCTGTGAAGACAGAGATTTCAATATGGCTGCCAAGATTAGGGGGAAACGAAGAGGGCTTAGATTTTTTGTGAGGAATATTAGCTGCACCACTAAATGCTGTTAGCTCTATTGTATTTTTTTCTTCAGAAAATAAGAACCTATTTAAGAACCTAAATAGCCTAAACTTGTGTTAACTACCATTTATATAAGAACTTGTTTAGGCTAACTTAATTGGAAAAACTCAGGTTCTTAGTCGCGGCGTTTTACTGTATGCCATACAAATTCAGGGTTCTTTCTAATCTTTAAAAGTCAGCGAAGGCATTTTAGCCCTCCGGTCTGAACAGAAATGAATGCCAGGTCAAGAAATTATTACCATTAAAAGAAGTGTAAAAAGTTTGGACAAAACTAAACCTAATTCAGAAGAGAAAATTGAGGGTGTGTTCGATTGATTGTGTTCCAGAATAATAGTATGCAAAAAATTTGTGACAAATCTAAAGAATATTACAGTTGAAGCGCGCTGCCTTCTTGAGGTTTATGGCTTATGGAACGAGGAATGTTACATTTGAAGCGCGCTTGTTTTGGTATATGGCTTATAGAACGAGGAAAGTTGCATTTTAAGCGCGGAGGAAGAAGTTAAGACGTCTGTTACACAAACGGAAAAAAGTAAGGGTATTTGTATGGAACGGTATCCTGAAAAATATAAATTCTTACTATTCCTCTGCATTCACAATTAATTCCACAACCACAACGCCGAAGTGTACACTCCTATATCGTCTTGTTAGCTTATGAACGAGGAATATTACGTTTGAAGCGCGCTTGTTTTGGTTCATGGCTTATAGAACGAGGAATATTACTGTTGGGGCGTGCTTGTTTCGCTTTATGGCTTATATAGCTTATACAACGAGGAAATAACGATCTATATAAATCAAGCATTCGGACCGTTACGATCCGTAACACACTGTTCCATGATATGATAATGAGATAGACACTTGTTAAGTGCTCAGAATACGGACTGTTAGCAATGCCGACGGTTTGTACGGGGCATACGATCCGTCAACTGCTCTTAACGGTCGGAAACAGTGCGGCAGCATTGGACATGACTGCGAATTTTGGGACTACTGCGGTATACATCCTTCATAATTACTGACAAGTTTCCACTTTGTCTAGGTTTTACCATGCAACTAAAGCCAATACAAGTGATGTTGACATTTCATTTCAATCGAACGCGCTCCAAGACGAAACATTTCAAACTATCATATGAATAACACAAACCTAAAAGACCAGCTGAGTTGCGATTCCAGGAAGGTTTGTCACGCCTCCAGCGGGTTTCACGGTTTGGAGAGGTTATAGGCTTAGCAGCTCTAACAATTATGTGTTGAACGTCACGCCATGTTAGCTTCGGGCTAAAATTAATTAAAAGTAATAAATCACGAAAGGAATAACTAGCTAGATATTGTTAAATGTAGCGAAAAACGTAAACTGGAAGGAGTAACATATCACTGACAATAATAATTTCAAAAGCGGAAACATATGACACTGATGTTACACTGCGACAAAGTAAGTGTTGCATTTTAGCGACAACCAATTAAGGGGCAAAAAAATTTAAATGGAGGAGGAGGAGAAATGCATTTATTAAGCTCTAACAAGTGGCATTCCTATCCAGTGTTTTTGAAGACGACAACATCATGAACCACTGAGGACTGTGTGAAAACGAAACGACGAGACCTTTCTAGCTAAAACTTGTTTAACCGGAACACTAGAACTCTTTCAGCAAATCTTACTTTGCCTGAAGTACCAAAGCAATGATACCAGAGCCCATTGCGGCTGTCGCAGAAGTACCCGGAAATCTATCCGTGCAACCTCTGGAATTCTGGGTTGTTACCTACAGATGAATGCAAGAACTGCATAAGACTCGAAGACTTTAGTAATAAGGTTATAGACCTCTTTCATAATGGCGGCCTATTAACATATTCTTTTTAAATGTATGATTATGAACCTCGTTAGCGTGTACAAAATACAAAAGAATTCTTACTTTCAAACGAGTCCAAAAAGATTCATTTAATTCTAACCGATTTTTTAAAAACCAACCTAGCGAACTTTGCAGTCAATTGAGTGAGAAGGGGTCAAAAGGCAGGTTTGTTAAGCCCGAGAAGCTCCAAAATCATGGTGACGAAGGAAATTAAAAGGAAAGGAGAAAAAGGACGAACGAGGAGAAAGAAAAGAGGAGAAGAAAAATGGTTGCACTCTTAGTTTTTATAATAGCTACTTTGGAGATAGTTTTTGGCCGAAAAAAACTGTTGGACGCAAAAGGTCCATTTGGCGATAACGTTTTCAAAGTTCCGGCTAGGTATACATTTGAAAGACCAAATAAATGAGCCGCCATTATGAAAGGGGTTAGGTCTATTCGGAGGCGTGATTTGCACTTCGACAGAGAACTTAGGGGGGCTTTCAAACCATGTGCCAGTGTAAAACAAATCCGTTCATTTCCTATCTTGTTCTAGACTAGCCTAGTCTCCTTCGCAGCAGTTTTTGGTGTCGTCACGCAAAACGGCTGCAAGGTAGCCCCACGGCAAGTAAGCTCTCAATTAGGGGGAGTCGCGAGAAGTCACCCGAGAGAGCACTCGCAAACTATTTTCAGACAGGTACAAGAGACCCAGTTTCACTTCGTTTCGAATAAAGAACAAACAATTTATACAATCGTTAAATTTACCTTCAAAGAATTGGATTTTGAAACTGAAACCTTTTGTAAACAAAAAGCAAACAAAACAAAACCAAAGAGAGACAAAAATTCTTCTATAATAGCTTCTAAAAGGCTAAAGAGGACCACATCCTTTCCACTTTAAAAAGAAACGTTGTTTAGTAAAACTTTGTTTTCCTGTGAAAACTCATTTTTTATTTTATTTTTAACATCTAAATTTCGTGTCATCAGATGATATCTGTCGTTTTCAGGGATATTCAAACATTCACAGTTAACTCTTTTAGGCGTTTCTGCTGACGCCTTGAAATTGCAAAATAACTACTACGTGGAAAACAAGTTAATGAGCTCAATGCTCTTAAGTAAAATTTCCGGTTTTTAGCATCAAAGAGGGATTCGATTCTCAGACTGAGATTTTCGAAGATGAACATAACGAGTCATAATGAGGGAAAACTGAAAACAAAGATTTTCCTATTTATGTCGTGAGAAGGTTAACAGTTCAGTTCAAAAACGGGCGCGGCGCTACGCCTAGTCGCGACTTATATTTAACAGAACCAAACCTCTTTAATATAAGAGGGGATGTTAGAAAACACAAGAATTTCAGGAAATAGCCCTTTTGTCTTTCTCTCTCCGCCCAAAACCAAACCCATAAAGTCTAAAGCAGCTTCTCACGCCGAGCAACAGAGACGAATGACAACCACATGGCTTGCCAGTTCACGTGACTTGTCAAATACCTAGGAGGGGTGAACATAATGGCCATTGACACCTCCCCCAGATCCAGTCCCCCCGACCATAAAATAAACGCAGGTCAAAGAGAGAAGACATAAAAGTTCTATTTGCAAGCAAATATTTTGTTTACACACGCGGGTTTCATTTCATCAACACTCCATCGTTCCTTTGCTTTGATTTCTATTCGATGTTTGGGTATACAGAGTAAGCGTTAATCTCACCATGGGAGGTACAATGTTTTGAAATGGAAACATGTCCTGGCCATAAGTCACCGCCATGATAGCTGCACATTGCTCAGTGTAAACTGGTACTGAGCCATCCCAATTTACAGCTGAAATAGCTATGGTGTGGATACTATTCACGTAGCCATTGAATGCACAGCTGTCACCAGTAATTCCACCATTTCCTGCAGAAAATACGAAGATTGACCCCTTTCCATTACGACCCTGAAAAATAAAGAAAAGAAAAAACTGTCCGGGCGGAAAATCGACGGATACTGTAGGGACCTTGAGTTAGTCCCCACTTTAACGAGAGCCTGTAATAGCGGGGAGTCTATTTCAGTCAAACATCTGTACTCTATTTTTTGCTTGGGATTTAGCTGCTGTCCGTATCATGGGAGTGTCCGTTATAGCGGGGTGTCCCCAAAGCCAGAGTTGACTGTATATGGATATATTTTAGAACAAACGTTGTGGTTTCAGTTAATAAATTCAGTTTAATTCCATCGCAAAGGAATCTTATAGTTAAGAAAAACCTTCGAGATTAATACTGATTTAGTGAGACTGAAAACAGCCTATTGCAGTAAGCGATTTTGGTTCTGCTTTCATGGGAAGTTATGTTATGTATTCTTTACAGCGGTTACCACTAACACGCGCCCTGAAAGGGTTTTTTCCTCGGTTCAAACCTGCGGTTCTACTCCTTGGCAATTCGTCCACAGCTCCCGTGTTTTCATACAATTAAATAAATAAACAACCTCAAAGCCATTAAGTAAACTAAAGAGAGTGTTTTGGTTATTTCACTCAGCTCGCAGAGACCTCATCGTTTTAACAATGTAATCCTGGCCTTAATCTTAATGAAATAATTGAAAACGTCGTCGTCATTGGAATTGTTCTTGTAAGTCTTCGCCCTTCATTCGGCGATGAGGGAACCTTCTCTGTCAGAGCGCGTGAGAAAACTATGGAAACAGTTGACTGATGTCCACAAAAACTCAGGTTTCAACAGAGAGAAAAAACCCTTCAAGGGCGCGTGTTAGTGGTAACCGCTGTAAAAATGCTGTGGAGTTTTGTTGCTGTTAAAACACGAGGATAAGCCGAGCGTTTTCGAGCAAATTTATTGCAGTGCTTCAAAACATTTTCTTTAGATCTCTCCATTATTTCAATTATCCTTGAGTCTGGACTAGTTTGACTAAGAAAATTGTAAATAAGAACGCTCTTAGTAGCGTTGAGTCTCGCTTCCTTGGAGTTAAAATTTATTGTCAGCTCGAGCTGTTATGCAACTTTTTCGTCTGGAATACTAAACGAGTGTTATATGTCATAATGTAAATACTCAAAACTTAAAATTTGCAAAGAGACTGCACATCTTAGCTTCACGCCGGTGTGAAGCCTTTGAAAACATTCGGCATATTGATATTGCTCCAATGAGGAGAACTCTTTTAGGGATTTTACACTCAAAACATTATATATAGCGTCTATGTAGCGGACAGGATACGGCTCGGTACACCATTTGTTCAGCACAGGAAAAATGTGTAAGTTTAGCAGAACCTTATACAACAGACAGTTACTTCTGTTCCGGTGCGTATTCCTGTTGAATTTGTTGTCCGTTTTATAAGATATCAAAATTGCGTGAAAGTAATTACATTTTCCACAGCTGCTTAGTATCTGCTTTTAGTATCTTCGTACAGTAAATGTTTACGCGATCTCACAGTACAATGTTTAGAGCAGTATTTGGCGTGCATTTTATCACAGTATCACTGGGATAAAGCGTTAATTCATTTTCCAGGAAAATTTCATTTTTTTGTCAAAACAATCACTGACTTAGTCAGACTCGGAGTAGTTTACTTAAATTTAGTGCTCAGTACAGTGAGCGGGTTATGTTTTGTGAAATTTATGTACCGTCTGCGGCCCACATCACCACAACCCACGATTTATTTATTTATTTTATTTTCAAGTTTTTTAACCGATCCCCGATTCTCGATCCTCCATCCTCTATTCTCGATTTTCGCTCCTGGTTTTCCAGTGAACCTCGAAGTTTTGCTTATTGAGATTGCGATTGTTCTTTTAATATAATAAATTTAAAAAGTAGTAAATTGTTCCAAAGTAATCAACGCTTTCAAGCGATTGAATTCGTGGACCGACCCGTTTCGGAAAAGCTTGATATGGGATTTCTATTTATGGACACGAAGTGCTGTAAGTGGAGTGCGTGATAATCAAGTACACATCACACACGTAACGTGAGACGCGTAGCTGAAGTTGCTTCTAGTAGTACTCGAAGGTTAAATCATTGATATCTCAAGCACTTATAAAGTGCAACGCGACTATAAATTAAATACAAACAACGAAGTGAATCTGTTTAACCGTAGGGTTCCAGTAATTGCGACAACATTAATTCTGAGAAACGTAAGGCCTCAATACAATTTTCTCATCCTAGTCGGGGTATTTACTTTTTAATACAAGTGCACAATTACACGAAAATCAAGGGCCTCGTTCAGGGAAAATTACATCATTGCCAGCGAACATAGTCAACTTACATGCGTTATTTTAGTTATAGCCGACAATAAAGCGCATGCTCATCACAAGACTCATTTGCATACAATTAAAGTCGTCTCGATTCTTATCCTCAGTCACGGTCTCCATTAGGAATGCCTGGGAGCCTTTTTGCGACGGACCGACGGAAAAAAAAACGCTTGCATTTGTGGAGTCTCGCTCTGCTAAAGCAAACTCGACCAATAAAATTCGGCGTTGTATATCTTTATGAATTATATATGAGATCGAACCTCAGATACCGGTAATTGACCACCTGTCCCTCCCCTAAATCAACATTTACACTTACTTCTCCCGTAGGGCAAAATTGTGACTTAGGGGAGGGGTAGATGGTCAGTTACCCAGAAACTTCAACTGATCCATAAAACTTACCAATTGCGCTCCTTTCTCCAGAACCTCTTTTAGTAAAGGGCCAGGCCCTTTAACTTGCCATCCCATGTCCCCTGGTCCCCAGCCGTTTGAGTATATATCAACAATGTCCCTCTGAAAGCTCAAACCCAGGGCTTCTGATTGGTCTGTTGAACGTCTATTGTTGGTGTATATGCGAATACCTTTCCAGAGAAGTGAGTAAATTCAATAATAGAACGGTTTCAAAGTGATCATGTGATTGCCTTCTTTCATTACTACTCATTGTGATTCGCAGACAAAAGAAATTGCTTCCCGTCTTACCCGGATCATTACTTCAAATTCGCATTAGTTGTTCCTTTACGTTTTCTACAGAAAAATTAGGGAGAATTTGCTGAAGTACCAATCAGATTCATCTTCTTTGATCATGTCCTCAATTCTCATCACCACTCTGTTTTAAAAAGAACTGAAATCATAGGGAGAAATTTCATGCTGAACACTCTTAGGGCTTAAAGGGTTAAGTCACTGAGATATGTGTTTATGAAAAAAAGTTTAAACGACAGTCTAATTATGCTGATGCCAATACCCAGGGACTCATACCTCAAGCCACTTAAATTTTGGTATGAATGTCTCAATTAATACTTTCCCTATGCCAACTGCATTTTCGTTTAATCCTAAACAAGTTACCTGAAATCTGGGCATTATATGCTACTCCTTTACCACACACACCGCTTTCTGCGCCCACGATGATCCCAGCACATTTTGTTCCATGCCCAGAGTTGGCAATAATATAAAATAAAGGCTTCGCGCAATGTTATCTGCATGATGATGATTTTCATAGTGATTGAAGTTATCCAAAAACGCACTAAGCTAAGTGCAGATGATTAGTGACATACCTTGCAGGATTATGATGTCGTATATCTATAGGTGGAGATTCCAAGAAGTCAAAACTTGCTGTTAGGTTCTGTCCAAGAAAAGTTTAAAAGAAAAATTCAAGAACAAAAGATTAGTAAAATTCTGGAAAACAAATTGCATAATAAAAAGCAACATCATAGCATTTCTTCCACAGACTTAAAAGTGATAACTACAGTAGACCCCCTGGTAATTTAAACTCTCCACGAAATCAAAGTTCCATTTCCATTGGATTTGACTCCACTCTTTAAATAACTTAAGAGATAGTAACTGGACTTACGTATACAATAAAAAAGTAAAAATATTAACCCTCGGACGTACACGCAAATTCATACCCCCACCGTGGTACAAGTGGAAGGCCTTTGACCTTCTTAACAAGATGAGGTATATTTCATGGGTGGTGACGCTGCTGGAGGCCTGTGACTTCACCAATGTGGGTCAGCACTCGTTCACATCCGTCGAAAGGCCCTCTTATCTTCGGTCGGATTTCGTAAACGTATGACGTCACGCTCTCTTCGTGGTTCCTCCTGTAACTCATGTATTGAGCTTTGCTTCGATCTTCTGATGATCTGATGTTTGTTTCGAGGTCTTGTCTTGCTTTTTCGATCATCCCTTGACTGATTCAACCAAGAAGATGCCACTGCATCTGTTTGGACAGGATGTTTTAATATTTCGCCTCGATCAAGCCTCTTAGCGCATCAACAAGGTCCTTTCAGCGGATGTTGCTGAGTAACATCCCTTGAATTACACGAACATGAAAATAAAACTCAAATGAACCGCTGCCCAATTTAACAACTTTTTCAAATATTGGCGGGAATATAAAAAATAGAGAATCATCCACGTGTGTATTAAATGTCTGTCCCTGTCGAATAATAATGAATGCTTGCAGGAACAACAACAACAACTTTATTTGTACCCAGCTATACCCTACATTGATTTACATGATACAAAAAAATTAGATAAATATATAGAGAGAGTACAGGCTGCCCAAAATAACCATTGAGGGCTAAAAAGATAGGGCAGCCTCACTTAGGTTATTAATAAATGATTATATTAAAGGGTCAGGTACCGCACACCACACACAGCTACAAAAAAAAAACCACCAAAAAAAAAAAACGAGTAGAAAAAGAAAGACAACAAAAGAAAGCTACCAGTATTAAACAACGGAAAGCCATTCTTGCACTAAGTTGTCTGATAATTTACATTCTGTTTCATCCGCTGAAGAAGCACAAAGCTAATCCAAGATTTTGAGGCTCGAAATACCGTAAAATTTTCCCTCTACAAGGACTACAAGGCAAGCAAAGGCTTTGGAGAGACTGGTGAGTAGTAGCTATATTATTGTACAGTGGCAGATCCAGACCTTCAGATAAGGGGAGGGGGCGCCCGGTCATCCAGACCCTGAGATAATAGGGGGGGTGGCGGTCTTCAAAAAAATTTTTTCGGCCCTTTGGGCGCAGCCTCAGTTTGGTCTAAAAATAAGAGGGGGGCCCGGGCTTCCCAGGCTCCTCCCCTAGATCTGCCATTGTTATATACAAAGTGGGCTGTTGACCATAGCCCTACTCCAATTTCCCAAGAATGTCATTTGCTTGGCACAAGCAAACCTCTTTGAGATCTTAACAGTGTCCATAGAATCCGCAATCAACAGTTGACCGGGTATGCATAAGTAGGCAGTTGTTCAAACAAAGGCTAAAACAGTCCTGTTTCATGGTGCTATTCTTGAGTCGTGGGAGGGTAGAAAACGTGCGCCCTGGATGCTACAACTGGTGTTCAATAAAATCTTAACATTTCCACTTGACCAATTTTGGGTTGAGAAACATGGCTGCAGTAGTGGTACATTAAAGGCACTTCCCTTTTAAAAAAAATGCTGTGACAATGCATGGCTGAGTTTGTCTGCATGGTAAGCATATTTTGCATAGTATTGCCACAATTTGCAATAGCAATGACTATAATATTTTACAGTGAAACCTCTATTAAGCAGGCCCCCAATTAAGCGAACACCCTCTCTTAAGCGGACACTAAGCCGGGTCCCGAGACTGACGTCTGATATTTCCCTTTGTAACAAACCCCTATTCAGCGGACACCTCTATTAAGCGTACCCTGACACTAAAATAAGTTGTATTTGGCTAATTTCTATTGTTAAAAACCTCTATTAAGCAGACACCGGACTGAATTGACAATAGTAGTATTGGATTACGTCCTTGAAATACGTACTGAAGTCAGTTGATGTTTTTGCATTTACAGACAAATTAAAGTTGGTAATGAAAGGTAATGAACTTGAACTCTGGATAGCTTCTTTAACAGCTTGCAACTTTTTCACAGTAGAGAGTAACCGTTAAATGTTGATCGTTAACAAACATTGTGCAATTTTTAAAACCTCTATTAAGCGGACACTTGGGAAGGTCCCGAAGGTCCCCACTTAATAGAGGTTTCACTGTAATTGATACCATAATAATGTAATAGTAATGATTATAATTATTATAATTTACATTGTTAGACAAAGAAATATTTTTAAACTTTCAGTATTCTGAACATCACTCATGTTCTTAAACTATTGTTGTAAATGGTAGCATTAACATGTATGACATTTAGTTTGCACAGACCTTGAGCAGGGGAAAAAATCCCAATTTCCATCAGGTACTGTACAGAACCTCTAGATCTGATAACCAACACCTCCTATAAGGTTACATGCACCTCTTACTAACAGACACTAAATATCTGGGTTCACAGCAATTAATTCCTATGTTAACAAATACTCCTCTCTCTATNCCCCCCCCCCCCATCCCCCTTTATCTGAAGGTCTGGAACCGCCACTGTACGGTGCACTCCGGTTGAACAGATGCCTTTGACAAGCAGCATGATTCCGGAGTAATTTGGTCAACACTTTGATACTGAATAAGAAAACAAATTTACATATAGAGGGAGGAAGGAGGATCGAGAGTGCACCAAAAGTCGATCCACCAGTCAAATCACACAGTCAGTAATTAATGCACAAGAAAACTCAAGGGAAGTTTAATGATGATCAAACAAGGAAAAACAATCTTACTGTTGAATAATATTACTTTTTTATGTTTGTTTTTGCTTCATGAAATTAAATAGCATCTGCTCTACTTGATCGAATAACAGAGCATTTCTTTTTCTCTAGAATGACATGCCTTTACCGTGAAAGAAGTTGAAGCAATAATTACAGCAGAAGAGGCTTTAAGGTACAGTCATAAACTAATATTCAAGCAAGAGCCCAAAGAAAACTGGGAGTGGGGATTATTTACAGAGAGGGAAGGGCTAATGCAGATGGGAAGATACCATTTCCACATTCTTTGGACCCTCCCCTTTCAGTTTTTACAGGACATATTTTTGACGAAACAACAAGAAGCCAAGTCAAAACTCTGAGGGGTTACTTAAGTAGAATTCCACCATTCATTCATTGATGTACTGTTAAAGAAACATATTAAAAAAAATTCTTGAACAAACCCATTGATCGATAGGCAACCTTTCTAACTTGCAGATATCATGTAGATGAAGACTTCATAGTATCAATGGCTTCGAACCAAAACGCACAGTTTAAGTGCATTTGCCACCTTAATTACAAAGCATAAAATAAGTAAGCCTAAATAAATAAATAAATCTGACAAAATTTATGTAAACATGGCTTCAGTGAGTGTCTACAGGTCCTATTCTAAGTGTGTCCTTGATACCAAGATTTTGATCCCCCCCACCCAGGACAATGGGTGACTGTCTGTGTCTCCCACTGAGCTCTGCAATCATCAACAACAACAACAACAAAGCTTTATTAACAAAAAATATACTTAAAGAAGTATTGCCCGCAGCTAGCAAGGCTATTCGACGCGGGACAATGCGTGCAAAATATAAAAATAGAAACTAAGGCTATTAGCATTATCATTCTCAGCAGAGGCATGATTCAGCTCAGTGGCTAGGGCAAATTAAGAACAAGGTACTTGCCAGTCAAAGCCTCTAGTGAACACTGCTGCTTACTGAAGGGGTTGTGTCAAAATAGCCCCCTCCCTTCGCCACTAATTTTTGCCCCCAGGCCTGATCCACCCACCCACTGTTAGGGCAGTCCCTCGGCTATTCAGCTAAACCAACCAAGATGGCAAGCCCCCTACCATTTTGGACACTGGACTGGCCCGTCACCAGCCCGGCGCCAGGCGAAAACCTAGTGACCAGAAATCAGACAGAAATATTATTAAATAATATTATCATTACAGCCTCATATTTTGCGCATTCTCTTGACCTTATATGGTGAAATGACATAATAGTGGAATAATAAATAACAATATTGATCCTTCTCCTCAAGTGTGAAATGTAAGTATGGCGATTTTTACACTGTACATGTATTCAATAAGGAAGTGATAATGTGTAATTCTCACCTAGATACACAGCCTGGTGATCTGGGGCCATTCAAAGGATGTTATTCAGTAACATCCACTGAAAGGTCCTTTTGCCCGCGGAGTGAGAAGAGGTTTGAAACATCAAAACATCCTTTAAACGGAGGCAGTGGCATCTTCTTGTTTGAATTGATTGGAATCAGTCGAGGATTGATCGAAAAAGTGGGACAAAATCTCTCACCAAAAATCAACAAGTCGGATACAGACGATCGAAGTGCAGATGAATCACATATTAAACTTCGAGGCGAGCGTGACGTCATACGTTTACGAAATCCGACCGAAGATAAGAGGGCCTTTCGACGGATGTTATCGAGTGCTGACCCATCAACAATGGTCGCCATGTTGGCCGCCATCTTGGATTTTACTAGGACTTAGAAACCAGGTTAAAACCGCGAGAAATGGTATTTTTTTGTGCTTTACATGAATAATAACACATAAATAAGCACTTTGCATGATT